TCCAGCGGGAGGCCGGATGGCTGCTACCTGGGGCGGCCGCCAGCGTCCCTTCGCGGGGGGCCGGGCCGCCCCTCGTCCAGGGTCGCCTGGCCCTGGCCCGGCCAGATCTCCCCTCCTGGCTAGGCCTGCCCGCCCACCCCAAGTGGTGCTAGGAAAACGGCTTCCCTGGCCCGTCCCTCTCCCCTTCCACCCTTTCTCCTTCTCCAGCTCCCTGGAGGCTGGAGCCTTCTCTCCCGTGACCCGCTCCTTCCCAGAGCTCTGTCCAGCCTGTCCGAGCTCTTCCCCTTCCGTGATCCCAGCTGGGGCTGGGCCAGCATTGGGTGCTGAGGTCTAACGCTTCCCAGATCCCTACTCCCTTGGTCTCCCGACAGGGCTGAGCCCAGGCCAGCCTGGACAGAAAAGCTGGGGTGGGGTGGGGGCATCTACCCCGGTGTGCTACGGAGCCATGCTGGAGGCACAGTCTGTCTCCCCTGGCGTTCAGCTCCCTCTGAGGGGTCCAGCTCTGGAAGCTGGAGGTTGGGGTCTCTGCTCTTAGGCGACAGGTCTCGGTGAGAGTCCGGGCGGGCAGAACCCACCTGGCTGAGGAGCAAGACTACACTGTGTCACCAAGGTCAAAAAGGGGACTGCAAGACGACCCTTGGCACCCCCATCCCTGCCGGGCGTGGCCTGGGGAAGGGGCTCTGACCTGGAGGAGGTCGGGGCAGGAATAGGGTAAGGCTGCCCCCTGGTGCCTGGCAGGTGCACAGACCCTCCCTCACAGGCCCCCCCAGCAAGAGGAAGGCTGTTGGGCCGCCTCCCTCGTGCCCGCTGAGCAGCTTGTTTGGAATTTTCGAGGACCAAGACTGTCCTGGGGGAGTGGTGGGGAAGGAAGGGGTCATGGTCCTGGCCCCGGGCTCCCTGATCTGACCGCAGACACTGTGGTCCCCAGATGGCTCATCCAGTTAAGCTAAGCCTGCAGCCATCCGGCCAGCTTTAGGAAGAAAAGCGGTTCCGGCCCGAGCCAGATTGAGCCTGCTAGGTGAGGGCGGGGTGGTGTCTCCGCCCAGATGTGCCAGAGGAACCTTAAGGGATGTGTGTGGGGAGGGGAGATGGATGGCGTCCCCACTGCTTAGGCTGGGGGCAGGGGGAGGGCACCCTTGGGGTGGCAGGGTTGCACTGCCTATCAGAAGTCCTTAACTCAGGTCTTCTCTGTAAGCTGGTCTGGCGACAAAGAGGTGTTAGAGAAGTGACCCACACCTAGGTGGCCTGGATCAGCCTGGGCCTAGGACAGAGGGGGAAGAGGGCCAATGCAGCTGAGCCACAGGCGACCCATGTGACATTTGAGAGAGTAGGGAAGAGGATCTGGCGAAGCAGACACAAAGGACTTCGTCCCAACAGGAGCACTGGTGGGGGTGGTGACACCTGAGAAGGAAGGACAGTGACCTTCGAGGGAGAGGTTCAGATAGAGGCCAGCACTTGGTGACATGGGCAGGGGCAAGTAAGGGTGTGGCAGGCTGCGGGTGACCCTCTCACGAACTTGAGGTCCTGCTGGTTCAAGGGAGGGGGCAGAAGGGAGAGAAGACAGTGACTTGAGCAGGACATGAGCTGATGACACTCTGGAGATGTGACCACTGCTGTGGACCCTCCTCTGCCCTGTGCTGGCCTGTGGGGCGGGAGGTGGATTCCAAGGCCAGGGCAGGGCCTCGAAGGAGCTGCCACTTGGGAGGTCAGAGGCGGCTGAGCGCGGCGGGGAGGTGGCTGCGCTAGGTGGAAGGCGTCCTCCCGAGGTTAACAAGCATTCTGGACAGAAATAGAGTTACAATTAAGCATTAATCAACTGCACTTTGGCCCACTTCCTTGTAACCGAAAGTCACGAAAGTCACGTACGCTAGACAGTGACCATTTGCATCTCTAGAGATAAGATCCCTAGAGGAGTTCCCATAGATAAGATCTCTGACCTTAGAATCATAGCCTAAGAACTGCTGCTTGTGGTGGTTTTCGGATTCCGAATTCCAGAGACACAGTTGACGCCCAGCAGCTTGGAGCCCCCACGGAGGAACAGGGTCAGCATGAGAGGCTTCACCCTGCAGGCTCGGGCCATCAACCATCCCCACAGTTCAGCATCCCCAAAACCCTTAAAGCCCCTGGCCCCATCTCCTCGGAGACAGGTTTGAGGTATCCTCCCGGCCTCTCTTGGGCAGCCCTGCGATGAGGCCTCTCTGCGCTGCTGCTGCGTCTTGCGGGTGGCCGCTGACGACGGCTCCACAGCTCCACAGTTCCACAGCCCGCTGCCGGCACGGGGTGTCTCCAGACCCTCAGAGTGGGGCCTCCACATGGAGGGCCGGGGTCACCAGGTGTCCAGACCTGACTCCAAGGGCCACGCCCTCCCTTGCCCGGTGAGGCAGCTCACCCCCACTCAAGGGTCCCTCAGCCTTCCCATGTCTAGGCTCTCCTCCCTGTAGTCATGCCCATCTGTACCAGCTGGGCCTGCAGTTCCCTCTGCAAACCCTTCTGGAATGTGGCGGTGGCATTCTTCTCTCAGCAGTCAGAAGGACCCTCTGGAAGCACAAATCTGACCAGTCCCTCCCTGGCTGATCTCTCTCTGGGCTTTTCTGTGTCCTAGAGAGAAAACGAAATTCCTCTTCAAGATGGACAAGATTGGGCATAACCTGAACCGAGGCCTCCCAGGCTCAGGCCACTGACGCCAACCTCCTGAGTATCCCCCATGCTGGGACCACTGCCTGGGGTTCCCCTTCTCTGCTGACCTCCCGCTGATCCTTCAGGACTCTGTCCCATGAGGCTGAAGAAGGAGGTGCAGGAGCCCTGCCCAGGACAGCTGCCCTCGGAGGTCCTCCTGCCCAGCCAGGACGAGCAGGACTTCTGTTGGTCTCGTGCTGCGTTCAGGCTGGCCAGGCTGGGCTTTCCCGAGGGGCCAAGGCAGGGGCTCCGGGCTCTGGTTGGAGCTCTGACCTGAGCCCAGCTGCAATGTTTCCAGGCGCACCGTGAGGTGCTG